ATTGTCTCACACACAGCTCAAATGTACCCACACACTTTCTCTCATATAGCATTGGGGCACATCCACATCTTACAAACCTGTGTCATCTCAATACACATACTCACACCCCCACTGCATTCACTAAAGTAAACTGGATGGAGTGTGTGAAGAAAGAGTTTAAGGCACTTTTGTGTGGGAAGGTAGAGTGTGGGTGCAGCCATATGGTGTGGAGGAGATGAAAGCATGGGTGTATTTGGGTAGTAGGTTTGTGTAGAGGTATACGCAGATTGTTTGTGTGACAGCTGGACATATTTGGGTGGGATGGGTGTGTGTGTGTCTTTGTGTTTCAAAGAATCCTTCCCTCCCCAATACACACGATTATCTCACATGCACACCCTATCCAGAAATACACTCTCTTAAGCATACATCTCCACGTGTTCTCTCTCCCTCCTCTCCTCCCTCCCCTTTCTCCCTCTCTTCTTTCTCTCTTCCTCCTCCTCTCTCTACCATATCCCCATTTTCCTAACATATACTTTAACTCATACATAGTCATTCACATCTAGATTTCTGCCAGATGGCATAATTTGGATGTTCTCTGTGAAAACGCCTTACCAAACCTAGGCACTATTATAATGCCATTCTGTTCTATGGCTTTGAGGGTAGTGGTGGGATGGGAAGGGAGATCTTTATGTTTCAAAGTCTTATCACCCCACCCCCTAGTGATAAGGACCATCTACACAAGGTCAAGGCCAAGTCTCCCTCATACCATCAGATAGGCACAAATCCCTTTACTCATCTACACGCACAGGCACACTCTCACTGTCCTTGGCCAAATACATCCATTTACTTCTTTTAAAATAAACATATATGAATGTTATACATTCACATGATATATTCATGAATGATAATATATTCACTCAAAAACACACACGTGCATACACTGGCATACTTTTACATATCTACAGAGAGGCTGACACTGTATGACATCTAAAGAGATGGTGAAGAAATATGGACACAGAAGTGAACTCCCAAATGTGCATACACACATCATCAGATAAAATCATATAAGTATATTCACATACACTCATATCAGTGTAGGTGTGCTCATACCCATAAATATCCAGATATGCAAATGCTTACAAATGACATGATGTATACATATACAGATATTTTAATACATAGACTGTATGTACAACTGGGCATGTACAGATAAGTGCATTCATATATATATATACTTATACATTAATTCACTCCTATATGTACACAATTAGATATGGAAACATATACTCATAAAACACTCAAACCATCACAGTCAGCTATACACATATACATATACATATATACATATTCATACACCCATAATGAAAAGTCACATAAATGAAAAAGGAATCATTTACCTACATTCCCACAGACAGACTTGGACACAAAGGTGTGCTCCAATACATGCACATATAGAAGTACACTCAAGTATTCTTGCACACATACCTGTTGATCTGCATAGGAAGATTGAGCTCCTTATCACAGATACACACATGCAAAGATAGCCTCAAATAAATGCACACACAACACTTATAGGCCAAGAGTGGCATGAACCAAGATATACACATAGTTCTACAATATATGCTCCAGACCAAACAAAGATAAACACAAACATACAAATGCAAACAATCAGAACTGTAGAAACTGGTACTTCACACCTTTGAATATTCAGACAGACACACATACAGGTATATTCACAGACATACATTTGTTTTATTTTATTTATTTTTTGGTCTTTTTGAGACAGGGTCTCCCTGTAGCCCCAACTAACCTGGAACTTGCTATGTAGACCAAGCTGGCCTCAAATTCACAGGGATCTGCTTCCCAAGTGCTGGGCTTAAAGGTGTGCACCACCATGCCTGGCACAGATATACATTTAAATGTGCTTGAACACACAAGAATATATACAGATATGTTCACACAAACACACTCATGGTCAGATATTCATACAGACTAGCCTATATCTCTATATCTCTAGTCTGTCTATCTATCTATTTATCTATCTATCTATCTATCTATCTATCTATCTATCTATCTATCTATCTATCTATCATCTATTGGCACAATCACTCACAGGCGTATTCAAATACATACCAAACTCAAAAATTCAAATAAAACACAGTGAGACACCTGCACCCAAGTATTATGAAATGTGGTTACTCATGCATACCATAAACAGATATGCACTTACATCAGACACATTTACAAATGTACCCATCTGCCTTGTGTATATAAGACACAGTGCCATACACCTCCCCAAACCACATTCATATATGTAGTCCAATGTGCATATATAAAATATTTTTCATTCATATATTCTCCCCTTTTCCTAGTGTGCCTATCTACACTCATTTCTCTGAATGGGTATGGGCACACAGATTCATCTACTGACAATAGCCACTCAAACACACACACACAGACATAATGAAAAACGCTAGAGAATTTACAAAGACGTTCACACATAGGCCTATTCACACAAATATATGAGAGACACACTAACACCCACAGCAAACATAAGCATGTTCACACATACATCCTCTCTTACATGCATGGACATACATGTGTGTGTGTATGTCTTTATACTCACATACATCATTCAGATGACCCCACACTGATAGGCACATGTAGGAACATGGGAATATACACAGTCAGATACAGCTAGGCATTCATTTAATTGGACATGCATACCTAGACACTCTGAAATGCACACATTCATATATATGACCAGACATGTATACTCAAAGAAAAATTGATACTACACACACACACACACACATAACCAGACATTCAACAGGCTTCTAGGCTCAGAAAAACATACCAATATTTGGGTCAGAATCAATTGTGACTATCTGCTCACCCAGACAGACATGCAAAGTAATACCCCACCTCAGTACACACACAAATCTACCCAGACCCCACACAATCTCACATGCCACCACCTGGCCTGTTTGCACACATACTTCTACATACATACAGTGCCATGATCAAACATGCATATACATAAATAGACTGTACATGTAGTCACATACTTTCAGTTGCATATCTATAGTCATGATCACAATCAGATGCCCCTGGGCAACAGGCTAGATCTTCTCCCTTCCATACCAAATGCTTCTTCAGAGAAGCATACTCATGCCTAGAGGTCCTAGCCTTCCCTCCCCATGGAGGAAAGCTGACTTCAATCTCTCCTCTGTTCTGGCTCCTCCATTGGCCAGAAGCTCCTTGGTATTCCACCACATCTCCACACCCAGGGTCTAGATGGGAAAACTCCCCTAGTTCTAGGTGCTGCATGGGCCACACCCCAGCTCTACCCAAAGCCATAAGATCTCAGAAGCTTCAGCTTTGTCTCCTGGTCCTGCTGACCACCGACCACAAGCCAAACTTGCTACTTTCCCTTCAACAGGGGGAGGGCACATCAGGACCAGGAAAGCTGTAGGATGCAAGCCAGGCCTTTGCTGGCTCACAGTCTCTCCCTCCCCTCCTTTTCTCTCCTCCTCTCTCTTTTTGTGTGTGCATATATAACACATGCACACACACATGCATACAGACACACACACACAGACACACAGACATACACACACACACACACACACACACACACACACACACACACACACACACACACACACACACACTTCTCCAGGGGCAAGTGCAGGGAAAGAAACCTGGAGTGGGGTAGGGATGAGAGACTCTGCCCAGAACTATTATTCCTCACAAATGAGAAGTTACAACATAAAGATGTTCTTATCTCCTCCCCACTTGTCTCCCCCATCTGCCCACCTGCTGCCTTCCCCAGATCTCTGCTGAGACCCTGAAGAAGAGGCACTAATCCTTCCCCTAATCAATAGCAACGTTAATCACAAGCAATCAGCAACAGTATTGACTCTGAGCTTTGCTGACACCATTTAGTGCCACCTCTATGCACAATTTTAATTATTCACATGCAACAACTTATTTAATCCCTGCACACACCCATGAAGAAAGGGTTACCAGTCTCTTTGACAAATAGGAAAACAGGTTCAATAAGTGACATGCTTCCACTAAAGTTGTGAGCTAGTAGTTAGGGGCCATGTCCCTGGTTGAATCCATGTGCTCCATATACCAGGTTTTGCTGCCCCTCCAGATACATGGACCTCTGGCTACTCTGTCATAGATCTGGAGGTCCCAGACACAATATGGGCACCTGAAACAGAAACAGAGAGCCATGTGATAGAAGCTGGGGCCCACACTATGGGGACCACCATGTTGTTCTTGGCCCCTGCATGTTGCCATGGGTATTGGCTCATGCCCCCTCAAAGCCTAGGGCCTGAAGTGCTTGCACCCCTACCTCACCTTCCTTTATTCCTACAGCAGCTTCCTCCCCTAGCTGGGATGCATCTTCCATGTTGAGTGAGCAAAAGTGTGTGTTACCTGTAGGTAAAGACTGAGAAAGGAATAAAGGAAAGAAAGAGTGGGGGGTGGTCTGCGCTAGGAGCAGCTTCTTTATCGTATTCACCTCTCTCTCTCTTTCTCTCTCTCATGCTCTCTCTTACACACACACACACACACACACACACACACACACACACACAATCCTGCAAACTGGCCAAAGAAACTGGAGGAAGGTGGAAAAAGGAAAGGAAGCAGCTGTAGGCATTGTGAGAACAAGGCCCATTGGGCTCCCAGGCATCCCTTCCACAGCTAGCACACAAAGAATGGTCTTGTGTCCAAATGTGACCATAATGACAAAAAAAGACCCCGTGTCGGGGGGAAACAGGTGGTAGTTCCCTTTCTCTTGGGACATTTGAGATTGAAGAAGATGGGAGAGAATAAGCATTCTCATGGTTTGAGTGTTCTCATAGTCCCTGTGATGAAGCAGAGACTTAACAGAGAGACAGGAAGCATGACAGTGATGGAGACTCTGAAATATGTGGGGATACAGAAAAGAAATCCCAGCTCCCCTCCTCCCTCTGCTCCTTGGTGGAAGGATGCTGACTGCTTACCTGGGTTCTCTCAGCAGGGCTGTCTTGGAATTCAGGAAGGGGGCTCATGCTGTCTCACCCAGGATAAATCTCAGCCCAGGCCACATTGTGGGACCCTCAGTTATCTGGTAGTCAGTGATACTCCTGCTTCTGTTGCCGTGGATACAGCCGGGTTGGTCTAAATCGCTGCCATCAGGGGAAGCAGGCGCCAGAAGGGTGCACTTGGCAGGGCTGGAGATGTTGGGGAACACCAGGTGGGCAGCACACAGCCTTGGGGTGCCCGAGTAGCTGGCAGGTGGAGGTCCTGGTAGGTGCCTCCCCCAGTACACATTCCCACCCCCATCATGCCACCGCCAAGCTGGGAGAGGGCCAGTACTGGCTCTGCTACCAGTCTGCCTGCCTTTCTTCCTGTCTCTCCCCCCCCCCCCCCCCCCCCCCCCCCCCACAGCCTTTTGTCCTCAGAAGACACAGTCCCCGCGGGGCCTCTGCCAAGCTTTTAGCAGATGCTCAGGGTCCGGGGCTCCTCCCTGGGTGCACACAGGCCATAGCCTGGGAGGGCCCCAGGTTAGGGGTGCACTCTCAGCCAGGCTCACCCTACTCTCCAGGCCCGACGAGGATGGCGAAGAGGTGCAGGTCCACAGCCAGAGGCAGCAGCAGAGGTGGTGTTGGGGAGGGGATGGACGCCAGAAAGAGGGGGAGGGGTGGGAAGAGAGGCTGGCCTGATAGCTGTGTCCCAGGTTTTAGATCCGGGTTGCGAAGGGTGGCTCAGAGCATCCAAGGGGGGGGGTCCTGATGCTAGACAAAGGTACCCCGGAACTGCCGGAAGGACCTTCCTGGCCTGGGAATCACCCCAGTTCACACAAATCCAGGTTCCAAGACGTTGGGAATACCTAGCTTGGATAGGGTCTCAGTGAGGAGTCCGGGCCCCTTAGCGGGTCCTTATGTAGCATGTCCGTCCCCCCTTCTCCTCGATTTGCACAGTCCCTGCCCGAGGGACGGGTGGAGGAGGGAGGAAAGCCGGGAGTGAGAGGGAGGGTAGGAGGGAGGCTGAGCTGGCCCGGAGACTCCCAGCCGCCAGCAAGGTCCTCCCTGGGGCGGGGCGGCTGAGTTGGGGGGAGGGGGCTGGCGAGGCCCGGAGCTGTCGGTTGGCTGGCTGGCTGGCTGAATGGGGATGCTGGTGTGGTGGCTGTTCTGCTAGAACAATAGGTGGCTGGCAAAACCAGCCTCATACCTCTCTTACATGAGAGAGAGACCTGCGTGGAGGTGGGGAGAAGTAGCTTAGAAACTGCTGAGAAATCAACTTGCTTAGGCTACTAGTGGAGAGGGGGCGGGGCTTAGAGAGGTCTGAGGTCTAGTTTTGGACAAAGGTTTGGTTGAAGTTTCCCCAAAGCTTTGGGATGGGAAAGATGCTTAAAGCTTGAAGATAGGATAGATTTAGAGTGGGGTTTTATGGGCAGGGTCTGGAAGCAGACTTAGGTAGGGTTGGAGCACGAGCAGAGACGCTGAACTCTGAGCAGTACTTTCTGTAGGTCAGATGGCAGGTATGAATTCGTACTTAGGGCCATGTTTTAGGACAGCATAATGGAACAGACGAGAAGAATGCCCAGTGAATGAACACTAGGGAAATATTTTTGTTCCGTTCAAACACAGCTTTATGTAGGTCCAGTCCTGGGCTCTGATGATACAGGTGAATCAGACTTGCTGCCTGCCTTACGAAGCCATGTTCTGCTACCAACCTGTGGGCCTGGAATTCATGCACCTGCAATCTGAATTCCTCTAGGGCTGGTGAAATGTAGATGCCCAGGTCTACTTTCTGGAAATATTAATCTGGTAGGTGGGGGAGACGGAAAACATATTTTTATGAAAACTTTCAGTGGTTTTTTTATGCCTCTGAAATTTGGGCACCATGGTTTGGAGAGGGAGAAAACCCAATGGACTGAACATAAAGTCACACTGGAAACTAGACAATACTTTGGACTGACTGATGATGAAAATACACACCTGAACTCTTGTAGATTGCTGCTAAGGTTACATTTAAGCAAAAAAAAAAAAATTGTAGCTTTAAATTAGTATTTTTTTTAAAGCTAAAAAAACCCACTAATTTTCTAATTTTATACAAGTCCATCAAAGAATTGGGGAAAATTATATGATCATTTCATCAGGTGCAAAAGAAAAGCATCATGACCAAAAAAAGCCCATAGCAAATTTATGCTTGCTAACAATTTAAAGAAGTTTTAAAGAAATACCATAGCAAACATCATAACTAATGGGGAAATACTGGAAATACTGAATGCGTCCAAAGATTGAGAGTGAAACAAGGATGCTCACTATAATCAGTTTTATTCAAATTGTACCAAAGGTTACAGCGAATGCATTAAAGCAAGAAAAAATATAAATGACATAAAAAATATAAGTCATGGGATGCCTCCTTATCAGTTATTGATCAGGGTGGCCCCAGAGGTCTCTAAAATAACTCATGTTATCACCATTGTTCTTGATTATCCACCATAACTACATGTTTAGAACCTACTGCTGAAGACACCAGATCCTGCGGGACATAGAGAAATGAATCTCAAACTGATTGGGAAAATTTCTGATGGCTAGATTTTTATCATGCCAGAAGGTGCTATGCAGGCTGCTGGGAGAGAAAAAACATCAATGGTCTTACTCAGCACTGGAGCCTGCATGTTACAACAATCACTTGGCAGGCAAGATGTGCCCACTGCAGCAATAGTGGCACAACTGTTGTAGGATAACTGCTTTCTGATTATATTTGAGGCCTGCTCCACAGGAGGGGATTTCAGGCAAGGTACTGTAATTCTGGTTAAAAGCCCATGCCTGGGGAGGTCATAGACCATATGGTAGAACTTACTATTGTTATTTTGCTAATTGGCCATGCTGTCAAATTGTCTTCTAATATGATCATATTTCATTGTACACCTATATGAAATTCTCAAAAATAAAGAAAAATTAAGTTTTCAAAATAAAAAGAAATTATATACATAACATGCTATTTTTTTGTATGTCAGTTATACAAAAATCTATTTGATAAAAAAGAAACAAAAAAGACAAAGTAAGCATGCAAATATTTACAGATATGTCTTTGTGTACAGAAAATTAAAAGGTATTTAAAATTATTAGAATTAGTAAATTTGTCAGGGTGGTAACAACCCCCCAAAAGTTTTTTCCCAACATGCTCCTAATAATGAGAAAAATGAAATAAAAAACATAATTAGGGTACTGGAGAGATGGCTCAGCAGTTAAGCGCACTGGATGCTCTTGCAGAGGACTTGGGTCCAGTTCTAATCACCCACATGGTAGCTAGCAACTGTCCCTAACTTCAGTTCCGGGGCATCTAACACCTTCTTCTGGCCTCCACAGGCATTGCATGTATAGGTACATACATGCAGGCGAAACACTCATACACATAAAATAAAAATAAAAATGTCCAAAAAATTGTAAAGACATAATTAAAAGCTTTTCATTCTTTAAGAATTCCATACATTTATACAATGAAATATGATCATATCTCCCATGTTCCCCAAATTTTCCCCCTCCAATTCTCCTTGTAGATCCCTAAAACTACCCCCTCCTATCTTCATGCCTGTTTTTTTTTTTTTTAATAACCCACTGTACATGAGTGTGGGGCAATCCATTGGAGCATGGGAAGTATACTGCTGGCCACATCATCAAAAGAATGGTTTTCCTTTCCTCAGAAGTTATCACCTGCCAATGTCTCTGCAGTAAAAAGTGGGGCCTGGAGATCACCCCCCCCTTGTATTCAGGAATTTTGACTGACTTGACCTTCTTTTGGTCTTGTCATGAACAGTAGACAATGCCATGTCAAGAAGATAGTATTTCATCAGGAGGCAGAGGCAGGCAGATCTCCGTGAGTTCAAGGCCAGCCTGCTCTACATAGTGAGTTCCAGGCCAGCTGGGGCTACAGGGAGACCCTGTCTCAAAAAGGAAAAAAAAAGAAAGAAAAAAGAAGATAGCATTTCTCTTCCAGCTCTTATACTCTTTCTGCCATCTCTTCCATGATCTTTCCTGAGCCCTAGTTTAGGTTGGGGGATTGATAAAGATGTTCCATTTAAGGCTGAATACTCAGTCAGTTTGAGCAGTAATAACTCTCTGCATTGACTGCTACCTACTGCAAAAAGAAGCTTCTCTGACCAAGGTTGAAAGCAATGCACATCTATGGGTATAAACATAAATATTTAGAAGGAAATTTGACAGCATGACCATTTAGTAAAATAACAATAGCAGGTTCTTCCTAGGGTCTATGACCTCCCCGGTCATGGGCTTTTGACCAGGGTTACATACCTGGCATGAATGGAGACAGTCTCAAATCTGATCAGAAAGAGATTAGTTACCACATAAGAGTTGTGCCACTATTGCCACAGTGGGAACATCTTGCCTGGTAGGTTGGTATTATAGCATGCAGAGTCCACCTCTGGGTAAGGTTGTTAATGTCTTTTCTCTCCCAGCAGCCTACATAGCACCTTCTGGCACTGTAAAAGCTAGTCAGCAGGGCAGAAGTTTCCTGGTCAATTCGAGATTGAGTTTTCTATGTTGTGCAGTCAATGTGTATGAACAAAAATGCTCTTTATATTGATATTGAAACCTATCAAGTGTGTATTAATAAATTTCATGGAAAACATGGGCGATCTCTATCCATAAAGTTACAAATCATCATTGAAAGAAACTAAAGAAGCCTTAAATAAATGGATTAATATACCATGTTCATGAATCTTAGTGATATAGACAGTCTTATAAAAGTGGTAGAGTTGTTGAAAATATGATTAAAATTTCAACATATTTGTGCTTGTATTTTACAGTATATAAAACTTGTCAAGCTCATTTTATTATTTCTTCAGTATGGCAAAGAGTACAGAATAACTAAAACAAGATTTCCTCTACTAGACATTGGGGCTTATAAGGGTACAGTATTTAAAATGGGGCAGCATTAATACAAGGCTAGATAAATAGATCAATGGAATATAATAGATTCTAGTCTGGGGTCTGTTTATGTAGTCACTTGATTTATGCCAAAGTTGTTTCTGTAGAGTAGTAGAGGACAGGCTCTTCAATAAATGGTTTTGGATTAGTTGGCTATTCATATAAAATATATCTTGATTCCAGTCTCACATAAGAAGCCCCAAATCATTTTTTTTGTATACTGAGATGTTAACATAAAAAGCAAGAAAATAAATTTTCTGAAATATGACATAAAAGAATGTCTTCATAATTTGGGAGTAAGAGAGAAATTAAGAAGTACTTACCAATCCTACTCGCCTTCTAGCCTTGGGCACAGGTTCACTTCTTCTCTTGGCACCCCAGACCTCTGGATTATCCTCTTGGCCCAGATCCACCCACTGCTTCTTGATTCTTTGCGCCCAGACCAGCCCAATTCTTCAGTCTAGTTCCCTAGAGCCCTCACAGTCTGCTCCCAACTCCAACTTGCCCTTGCACACCTGGGACCAGCCTTCTTCCCTGGTTGTCTCCACCCTCAATCTACCTGGGATTCCTAAAACCAGCCTCTTTCCCTGGTAAGTTTGACCCCGCCCCCTGTGCCTTGATTCCCACAACCTGATTCAGTCTCCCAGCTCTCACATCCCATTCTCCGTCTAGCCGTGGGTACAGGCCCACTTCTGCTCTCTGCACCCAAGACCTCTGGACTACCCTCTTGGCTCAAATCTACCTACTGCATCCTGATCCGCTGTACCAACCCAATTCTTCAGTCTAGTTCCCTAGAGTCTTCAAAGCCTGTCTCCACCCTCAATTTGCCTTTGCACACCCTGAGATCACACTTCTGCCCTGGCTGTCCCCAGCCCTAGCTTGCCTGGAATTCCAGAGACCAGCCTCCTTCCCTGACTGCCTGAGATCACCTGAATCCTAACTCCACCTAGCCTCCACAATTGAACTGTGTCTGCTGACTAGAGGGACCCAGATCTTAGGAGGAAGACCTGAAAGCATCTGATCCTCATTCGATTTGGGCTTATCAAGGGGCAGGAGGCGTACAGAACACT